GGACTTGTGGTGCCTCCCTGATTGCTGGGAATTGCAGTGCCTTCCTGACTGACAGTGCTGACTGCTGGGACTTGTGGTGCCTCCCTGATTGCTGGGAATTGCAGTGCCTTCCTGACTGACAGTGCTGACTGCTGGGACTTGTATTGCCTTACTATCTGCTGGGACTTGTAGTCCTTCCCAGACTGGCTGTACAGACAGCTGGGACTTGTAGTGCCTCACTGACTGCTGGGGCTTGTAGTCCTTCCCAGACTGGCAGTACAGATTGCTAGTAGTGACTCCCTGACTCTCAGCACTGACAACTAGGATTTGTAGTGCCTCCCTGACTGGCAGCACTGGCTGCTGGGACTTGTAGTGCCTCCCTGACTGTCAGGCCCCAGCATCGGCACCTGCCTGCTCCCATGATCTGGCTGTGTACACACGTGCGGCCCCCTCTGCCTAGCCCTGATTGGGCTCAATTCACACTCAGCAAGATAAGGATCCTTATTTTCCCCCAAAAAAAGTGACAGTTATTTCCAGCTGAGCCCAATGAGACCCGAGAATCACATGACTGAAATAAAGATCCTCATCCTCCCCCTAGTAAAGCTTCGTGAATCGAGCCTCACATCACCCGTCTAACCAACACACATACACGGTACACACCAGCGGATAACCTAGTGTGTATATGTATGTATGTGTATATGTGTATACAAATACACGCGCAATACACCCATGATATGTATGTATGTACGTATATATATTACAAATACACACGCAATACACCCATGATGTGTGCGTATGTATGTACGTACATGTGTGTGTGTATATATATATATATATATATATACACACACACACACACAAGCAATACACCGATGAAGTGTGTGTATTACCAATCTGCCTCTACACACCAATCCGTACAAGCTTTGTGAATATGTACTTGTGCTGTACATATGACTGAAAAAAAACGGATGGGGTAGATGTGGCCAATGCTCAGCCAATGTGCCTTTGATGTCTGCTGATGGGTGCACGAGGGGCTGTATTTACACCTCCCTGTAGAGGGTTCTTGTTAGCCGTGTCACATGGGTGAGCGTACATGTGATGAGCGATCCTATTTACACGGCTGTATAATCACACCTAGGTGTAGTATTAATATTATTATTGCAACTCATCACATCAACAGGCCCTCCTGCTCCCTGATTCACCGGAGATTCCGGCGTCCTCGGACACACATGTCGCAGCACACCGTTCCCTGCATGTTTTTCAGAGTTTACATCCAGCATAATATCCTGCAGAATAAACGTGTGTGTGTGTGCAGCCGGTCATGATGAAACCCTCTCGGCTGTCTTGTGAACGCCGGAATTAGCGAGAAGCATCTCAATAATACTCGTTAATTATCCTCCCAAATATTATTTTTTTCCTCTTGGGTCGGGGGGGAGGAGCTTATTATTATTATTATTATGCTTATAAATTGAATAATTCACGTGATGCAGCAATGTGCTGCATTAAAATGGAGCCTGCTTCTCTGCATGGGCTCTCCGAGTGTCAGCACAGGGGGGCAATAGAAGCTTCGGCTAAAAATAGGCATCATTTGCATATCCCAAAAATTCAAGGGGGGGCAATATTGTGCGTCCTCCTAAGAGGTGGTGGAGGTCTGCAGGCTGTACACACAGATACACAATTATTGTATGTGTGTTACTTGCAGTCAACAGAGCAGATTCCAGTGGGGGAAGGGGGAGTACTGTCAAGAGGGGGGGAAAAATGTGTTTCTGTTTTGTGGATGTATATGTTTAATGCCGCGTTCTTGCTGCGGTTACCACTGTTTTTTTTTGTTTCAATCACAAATGTTAAATTTGTTTGTTGATTTTTAAATGATATTTTTATGTATGCGGCGAGATGTGTGTGTCATATGTGTGAAAGGATTGCAAGAAATCCGATTATTTTTATTATTATTTTTACCAACTTTGACCGAGCAGCCAAATGTCGAAATTTAATGGTACCGAACGACTGTAATAAAATCTTTATATTAAACCTTTAAATCTTCTAAAATACTTTATTATTTTTTAGTCTTTATTATTCTCATTGTATCTTTCCCTTTTTAATTTGTTACTCTTTATTAATTGTTATTAGTCTTATCATATCCTTCTCTTTATTTGTATTCATTTTTATTCTTTATAATTCTTTATTATTTTTATTGTAGCCTTCCCTTTTTTATTTTTTATCTTTTATTTATTCTTTTTGTATACTTGCTTTTATTTTTTATTCCTTATTATTTTTTTAGTATTCTTATCGTATCCTGCCCTTTACTTTTATCTTTTTTTATTATTATTATCATATTCTTCTCTGTATTTTTATTTTTTATTAAATTAATTTTTTACATTTGTAATAAATATTTATTGTTAGTAAATGAGATTTTCCTGCTGGTGTTTGGTGTTGGTGGTTTATGTGCCTTCCATGGTACACGTGTGTAGTTTGTGTATGGAGTCAACACTGACCTTCTGCCATGAGCTTTAGGACCCGGGCACACCCGAAAGCGCCCCGGCCCTCGTGCGACAAAAGAAAATTATTTTCTGTGGTGCCTCTTCACACCTATACAATCTGGGAAAATGGTGCAGGTGCTTCTTTTGATGTGTTTTGAGCACCAGAGACGTCAACGGTATTGCACGAAGAACGCAAGTAACAAGTATTTTCATGTGTTTTTAACACGTGGCGACAACCTTCACCAGCTACGTATAAGGGGGGAGGGGGGAATTTATCAAAACTGGAACAGACAGAATCAGGAGAAGTTGCCCATGGCAACCAATCAGCTTCTCTCTTTCATTTTCAAATATTAACTGAACAAACTGAAGAGAGAAGCTGATTGGTTGCCATGGGCAACTGCTCCAAATGTTGTCTGCTCCAGTTTTGATAAACTCCCCCCTCTGTGTGTTTTATTTTAGTGCAGTTTTCCAGTCTATATTTCCCACCTGCCCTCAGGAAGGAAACGCATGTGAAATGTGTTTAAATTACATGTAATGTAAATTACATTACATTATAAACACAATGCACTAACAACACAGCATTATGTGCCATGAGAAAAACGCATGTGAGTTTTCTAAGTCAGTGGTGTGACCGGGCCCTGGAGATCATGGCGGTGTGGAGTTTTCTAAGTCAGTGGTGTGACCGGGCCCTGGAGATCATGGCAGTGTGGAGTTTTCTAAGTCAGTGGTGTGACCGGGCCCTGGAGATCATGGCGGTGTGGAGTTTTCTATGACAGTGGTGTGACCGGGCCCTGGAGATCATGGCGGTGTGGAGTTTTCTATGGCAGTGGTGTGACCGGGCCCTGAAGATCATGTTGGGTGTTGACTTTTCGGCTGAATTCACACCTAGGCGTATCGAAAATGCGTGTTTCGTGCCGCGCGTTTTTACCGCGATTCACGGTAAAAAAACATGCGACAAATGCGTGTTTTCCGAGGTCCACCTGGCTGTATCCCAATGGATACGTGTGGCAAATACGCCCCAAAGAAGCTCCTGTACTTCTTTGGGTGTAGGGCGTTTTGCAGCGCGTTCCTGCGCACTGTAAAACGCCCAGGTGGGAACCATGCCCATAGGCAATCATTGGTTTTCACATGTTGAGCGTTGTACAGAGCGTAGGAACGCGCTGAAAAAAGGCCCAGGTGTGAACCAGGCCTTAGCGTTTCATTTTGCAGCTTGGCTTCATCTACAGCAAGCGTTTCCTTTTCTTTCCAGTTGTGTTGGATCAGTGTGACAGCTGATATGCCTTTTGTGATGAGGAAGCGCAGAGGCTAGCTGCTTTGCAGCACTGGAGTTCTGGCTTTTGTTCCAGCGACGTGTGGGATTTGTCTGGGCTTGCCATGTATGGGTGTGGATTTCCTTGAGATGTTGCCAGGCTACATGTGTAGCTTTCAGATGCTTCTACAGCTGGTCATGGAATATAGAACAGCGGACGTCTGTTGGCTGAGATATGTAGAGATTGTTTCCAGGAGTTGAACAATTCTTGGGTTGCAGTTTGTTCACCTTTGTAATGAGATTTAGCGCGAGTGGTAGTGAAGTCATCATGGCGGAATAAAGCGACTCCAAAAAGGTAGTCTAGGTGGGTTAACTGGTATCTGTACATAGAGTAAGTCTTACTGGTGTTGATGGCTGATGATGGTCAGATGTGTTGGACAAATCCCAGGCACCAGGTCGCCAATGCTCCTTACAAATGACAACTGGCGCCTAAGCTTGAATTTACCTGTGAATGGGTAGTGCCGGAGCCTAGGATAGTCCTATTGGTATTACAGTCATGTTGGGAAAGGTAGTCTGGTTAGTGGGCTGCCGCACCACAAGATGATAGTCCAGATAAAACTTTATTCCAATAGAATGTCAGATAGAAGATGAAATGAAGAAGCCAACACATTTTGAGGGCACAAAAAAAAAGAAAAAACCCTTCATCAGAGCCTAAAGATGAGAACTCTGCAGAGCAGCCACATTACACTCAGGTGCTGGGAAAGTATGTGAGGTCATGTATCTGGCACGGAAGTAAATGTCAGAATCATCTAAAGAGACCCTGTCCCCTCTCTAAATTTAATCCAAAAGGCCTCTTCCCTGCTAGAGACGAGGTGGTATACTAACCTGTCCGGTGACCAATGACTCCTTCCGGCCCCCCCATTCCAACGCTGCAGCTTCCCTAAGGGAGCATTCACACCAAAATCAGAAGGAAATCGCAAGTCAACAGAGGTCCGTTGACTTGCAATTATACCTTTCCGATTTCCTTCCGATCCATTGCGTTGCGATCTGATCCGTTTTTCAAATTGAATGGGTGTGAATGGGGCTAGGTCACACAGGGTCCATTGTGTTACGGATCCTAAAGGCCCATTCACACCAAAATTGAACCAAACATGTAAGTCAGTGGAGGTCCTTTGACTTGCAGTTTCAAACTCCATTGACTTCCATTCCATTGCTGCTTTTTTTTTTGCCAATCTTTATTTTAATTAACATGTCCTGACTGGTCCCAGTTACACCCCATAAGTTTTTCAGGTTACCTCCTGTTGACATCCGTTGAAAATTAGATTCCTAACGGATTTAGTGTGAATGGGGCCTTAGTCGTTCTTGCATTTCTGGAGTGTGGGATGTCTGCCTCCCCCACCATTTGGTGGTTCTTTTTCTAATCTCTACGTCCCTAGAGGACTCGGCAAAGACATAGGGGTCGGAGGGGAGTTAGCAGCCATGGGCCCTTAGACAGGTGAGTATATTACCTTTGCAGAGAATTGGCCTTTTGATTCGTTTGGAGACTTTTTTAAGATTGAATATTCAGATTTTGCATAAGGCCAGATGTGACTGGTCCTCTTGAAGAACTTGTTCACGGTGAAGCATTCTAGAAATAAGGAATCATATACAAGTAATACAAGTCTGTTATACTGCAGAGATCTGGCAATTAATAAACATAGCAGTCTTCTAATCTGTTTGTAAATAGATTCATGTGTAGGCTTGAATAGTGTTATTACTGCACCCTCCCTCCCTTCCATTTAAACAGAGCGCTATTCCTTTAAGGAATATTCAATATTGTCATGCATTGTACTTGTGTGTATTGTATGTTGTGTTGCTGGAGGAAGGTTCCTGAGCTCCCCTTGTCCTGCAGATGTTGTTGTCCTGTTGTAGAGAAGACGATTGATGCAACATCCCACTAATTGTCATGTCTCTTCTGCTCTGCACAGAAGCCGAGCATGGTTATGCTTCCATGTTGCCTTACAATAGCAAAGAGAGGGACAGCTTGAAGAGGAAAAGCAAGTCGAAAAAAAGCAGCAGTAGCAGGTAAGAAGATAAAGGCTCCGTTCTCTCTTTCTTGTGAATTTCTGCAGTGTGCCGGAGCCGGATTTTCTCAGCGCTCACATGCAATCCACATGTGACATTTGGCAGGCTGCACACCCCCATGGATTTGTGCCTTCGCTGAGAAACCTCTGGTGGCTTTTGCTCTTGTTTTCCTGTGAAAAATGCGTCTAAGCTGCTGAAGCGGTGAGAATGAAGGACGGATCGACGTGTCGTGAATGAGGCAGTAAAAGAATAACACATATCAGGGTAATGTGAGACTGGCATGACGATGGTAGTCTGTATGTTACTGCAGTCAGGGGATTAGTAATGGAGGATATTGCTGCTGCATTTGGATTATAGTTAATTTATCTACAAGCGTCAGGTGGACATAATAATCTGGCCACTCAGTGTGTGTGTGTGTGTATAATATATAGTATACAGTATGTAGGTTTAGTCTGCGATGGGCCCACAGACTTATAATTGTGTTCAGTTTATGTTGTGTCCAGACAATGTGAATTTCAGTCTTCTGTATAAAATCAGTCCGATCATGTGAAGATCCTCGGTTTGCGGCAGATATACAGTACTGTGCTACAGGATATTCTGCTGCCGGACAAGTAGGGCCATAGCTGTGATCATAGCCCTTGGGTCTTTCAGTGGAAAGGACGCAGGATCGAGTATATGATAACAAGTGTCTCTTGGACACATTTTAGTTTTGCTTTATAGAATGGAAGCATGCTTTAACATGCTTTGAGCTCTATATCAGCATCACATAATGCACTTGTCTGCTGATATAAACAGTAAAAGGATAGTGTCACCAGCACTCAACTGAAGATTAAAGATCCATGTAAAAAAAACCACAAACTACCCTCGTAGTGGGGCTGCCCGCACACAGCAAGGGTTAGCTGCTCACTTTTTTTAAGGGGATCAGTGTAAAGCACTTTCACTTACCTGATCCCCGCTCTCGCAGCCTCTTTCCGCCCTCCTCTTTGGTGGTCAGAGGTCCACTGATGTCATCACTTATGAGGCAGGGTCCATAGCCCCACATTATACGTGAAGGTGCTGAGGGACAAGTCAGAGGGAAGAAAGGTGAGTGCCAGCCGTCAGGGTAGTGGGTAATCGGGTAAGTAAAAGTGCTATACACTGTATCCCTAGACAAAAACAAGCAGGGTTAGCCCCTTTGCAAGGGTACTTTTTGGTTTTGGTTATAGGCTTTAAAGATCCACACGTTTTTATTCATAGAACATCACACAAGACCAATAAGTCAACGTTGTGAGTCCATGTAGGGTCCCTTCCTCAAGGCAACACCCTTATCAATATGCAGATACAACAGAAATATATATACCCTGTAGTAGCCCATGTCTGTTACATCTGTATGTTAATTTTCATGGTTTCACCTTGAGGAAGGGACCCTCAGCGGCCCCAAACGTTGGCCTTTTTTTTACCTATGTGATGTGTGCAATTGAGTGCTGGTGAATCTCCTATCCTTTTTACTGTGGTTCTGCACGGCGCCAATCATTGCTGTCACTACAACCACCATTTAGCTAGTAAATTCCAAGTTCTGCGTGTAATTGCGTGAAATAGCTTGTGTACAGGACACCGGGGCTGGGTCCTGGAAGGACGCTATATTTCCCCTCTGTTTGGACTGTGGTCCCTTTAAAGGATGAGACGGGGTTAACTCACCTGCTGGAGGAAGAGTGGGTTTAAAAGACAGGAAGTGGTAGCTAGCAGGTGAGGAGTAGTGTGGAGGAGGTTGGAGAGTGGGGATCTGTGTACTGCTGTGAGCTTGAATGTCATTAATCTTGCTTGAAATCTGTAGACTGGGAAAGTTACCCTGGAAGTCTGGGACTGTTTAAACTGCGATTGCAGCTCTGAAATCTTCATGTCGGTGAGACTGTTCTTTTGTGTTGTACTGAAGAGTTGCTGTTTGAGTTGTCCAGCTGGTCAGTGAAGATGACCTGTGTGGTTATGTTGCTGCTGTGAAGCTATTTCAGTTAATAAACTTTACTTTATTTGCAAAGCCTGTGTCCTGCGATCCTGCTGGATTCCCCTAACATTACACTTGTTGTTCCCTATGGGATGACGCGGATGCACGCAAATCCACGTGGTCACATGCACACCCAAACCTGCACATCCATGTGGGTCCGAGTGCTCTAACTTGGACACACACACTGTCTGCATCCAAGTGCGGAAGCCTGGACCTACACAAATGTGCAGGTTCGGGTGTGCGTACGTATAATTGCATGCAGCCACGTCCTCCTGAGCACAATTACATGCAGCAGCTGTCCCTTTGGGGATCGGGTCATTTTATGGGCGTGTATGCTGTACGGACATGCGTGCCTGTCTGAATGAGCCCTTAAAGCCAATGGGGGTGATTTACTAACCTAAACACACGCACACACTAGGTGCGTGTGATAAATGCCAATATCCTGCATTAAAAAGGAGTATTTTTGCATCATTTACATGCGTATGCACGAAAATCTATTTTAGTAGTTTACACACAAAAAAATCTTACGTTTCTAAATCCTGGGCACGTGTTTACAGACATAAACATGAGTACAGTACTTTATGCACCGTTACATGCAGTTTTTTTGCATGCATTTTTATGTCAGTTTCTGGCAGCAAGATCCAGACTATATGTGTGCAGGGGAGGATAATGAAAAATAAGGTGTGGCCCTATGATTATTGTACCAAAGATTTCTATGTTTGTATCTTTTAGGAGATTATATGTATGTATGTATGTATATAGTGTATGTATGTGTGTATGTATGTGTATATATATATATACATGACTGGTTATTGTCACTTTGATGTTTACAGGGAAATCTATTGTGCAACACTAGACATGGGCATAATGTTACTGTTTAAAAATTAATATGTCGTGTTTACATGTTGTGTAACCTACATGTTAGTAATGTTTTTTCATTTTATTTTTTA